AAACAACGCGGCTTGCCGATGGACATCCGCTCGCCCCGCCGTTAAAAACCTGGCACTTAACGAAACCCGGACGCATCGAAACCCGGTTGCATACGAAAACGTAGTAAAAAGTCCTCCGACGCGGACGAACCGAAAATCAAAAGATCCCTCCGAAGAGTGGCTACTAAGCAAAATAACCCCATTCGCGCCCCCTTTACCCAACATCGCCGTTACGTGAGGCGGCGCGGCTTGCCGGTCTACTCCGGCTCGCCCGGCCGTTAAAAAACCTGGCATACAACAAAACCCGGACGCAACGAAACCCAATTAAACAAGTGGCACGCGTGCCCTGGCTCTTGCACAGAAAGAAAGGGGGAGGAGGAAGAGGAGGAGGAAGAGGAAGAGGAGGAGGAGGAGGAGGAGGAGGAGGAGGAGGAGGAGGAGAAGGAGGAGGAGGAGGAGGAGGAGGAGGAGGAGAAGGGGGAGGATGCGGAAGAGGGGGGGGAGAGGGGACGAGAAATCGGAGAAGGAGGGCTTAGAGAAGGCCGCAACAGGGGCTTCAGAGGGCGAACTTAAGAAGGCGCCACGCGCCGTCCCCCACAAGATGGCCTCAATGACCTGCAACATGCTCCCAATAAACCGCCAACAAACACCCAAGCAGCCCACAAAGGGTCTCAAAAGGCCCCCGGTAACCACAAAAGACATTGAAAAGGCTTCCCTGCAGCCTCCAAAGTCAAGGAGGCCCCAAAGAAATTCTGGAGCAGACCCGGCTGCTGGATGCTCGCGGTGCAAAGTGCCACATGTTACGGCCTTGTACGGAGAACGCTTGTCCAGGGCACTCGTTTTGCGTACAGAGTCTGGCTGGTAGGGAAGGGGGATGCGGAGTAGGCGCGCGCCGCAGGGGGGCGCGCTGGCTGGTAGGTGGGAGGATGCGGAGGGCCTATTGTAAAGGGTCGGGGCGGTGCGGAGCCATGCCGAAATAAAAACAATCGGGGTGGAGGAGGTGCGCTGGCTGCTGGGTGGGTCGATACGGAAGAGGCGCGCGGGATGGGGGCGGTGGTGCCGTGCCGAAACAACAAAATCGGGGCGGAAGGGGCGCTCCGGCTGGCGGGTGTGGGGATGCGGAGGGGTCGCGCGGGATGAAAGGGGCGGCGCCGTGCCAAAATAAAAAAGCCAGAACGGAGGGAGCGCGCTGGCTGGTGGATGGGGTGATGGAGGGGGGCGTTCGGGATGGGGGGGCGGCGCCGTGCCGAAATAAAATGGGTCGGGGCGGAGGGGGCGCACTGGCTGGCGGGTGGGGCGATGCGGAGGGGGCGCGCGGGATGGGCGGGGCGGTGCCGTGCCGAAATAAGAGGGTCGGGGCGGAAGGGCCGCGCTGGCTGGCGTGTGGAGTGATGCAGAGGGGGCGCTCGGGATGGGGGGGGGCAGTGCCGTGCCGAAAGAAAGGGGTCGGTGCGGAGGGGCCGCGCAGGCTGGCGTGTGGGGTGATGCAAAAAGGGCGCGCGGGATGGGGAGGGGGCAGCGCCGCGCCGAAACAACAAGGGTCGGGGCGGAGGGGGCGCGCTGGCTGGTGGGTGGGGTGATGCGGGGATGACGCGCGGCATGCGGGGGGGGGACGGTGCCGTGCCGAAATAAAGGGTTCGGGGCAGAAGGGGCGCGCTGGCTGGCGGATGGGGTGATGGAGTGGCGCTCGGGATGGGGGGGGCGGTGCCGTGCCGAAATAAGAGGGGTCGGGGCGAGGGGGCGCGTTGGCTGGTGGGCGGGGTGACGCAGAGGGGGCGTTCGGGATGGGGGCCCCAGGAGCGGTGCCGTGCCGAAAGGTCGGGGCGGAGGGGGCGCGCTGGCTGGTGCGTGGGGCGATGCTAAAGGGGCGCGCGGAATGGGGAGGGGGGGGGCGGCGCCGTGCCGAAATACGAAGGCGGGGCGGAGGGGGCGCGTTGGCTGGTGGGCGGGGTGATGCGGAGGTGGCCCTCGGGATGTGGGGGGGCGGTGCTGTGCCGAAATAAAAAATCGGGGCGAAGGGGGCGCGATGTCTGGCGGGTGGGGGGATGCGGAGGGGGCACGCGGGATGGGGGGGCGATGCCGTGCCGAAACAACAGGGTCGGGGCGGAGGGAGCGCGCTGGCTGGTGGGTGGTGGGGCAACGCGGAGGGGGCGTCCTGGATGTGGGGGGGGAAGACGGTGCCGCGCCGAAATAAAAGGGTCTGGGCGGAGTGGGCACGCTGGCCGGTGGGCGGGGTGGGCGGGGTGATGCGGAGGTGGCGCGCGGGATGGGGGGGGTGCCGTGCCGAAATAAAGTGGTTGGAGCTCTAGACACCCTGTGCAAGAGAAGACGAAATCGTCGTAAATGTAGACCTCCGAAAAAAAAGACCCGCAATGCGGGCGAACCTGTTGCTCAGTAAAATTGGGGGAGGGCGGAAGAACAGGACGGTGAGGAAGAGGACGAGGAGCCAAATGAGGAACACGAATTAAAGGATGAGGAAGAACGAACAGAAACAACAACAACCAATTTATGCATGTATTTGTCGTGCAATCCGCAATCTATTAGATTTGATTCCGCAACGTATCGGCTCACAGAAATTCTCGCCTCATTTCCATCCTTTTACGCATCGGCGTGCTCACCGGACCGTGAGTCATTTCCATGGCCAACTTCTTCTTATTGTGGTTGATTGTTTGTGTGGTCTTTCCTGGGCCGTTGCCTTAGTGCTACACCTGTACGTCGTTTACGCCATCGTCGTCGTCCTCCTCCCCCTCCTCCTCCTCCTCTGCTCCTCCTCCCCTTCCTCCTGCTCCTCCTTCTCGTCCTCCCCCTTCCTCCTCTTCCTCCTCCTCCTCCTCTAACACTGCTTAGCCGCAAGCTGCGCGCCGCCCTGTTTCACCCACGTTCGGTTTTCATGCATGCCTTTCCGAACTATACGAAGCGAGAGAGTGGGGGCTGGCGCTAAGGGACATTGGTTTGTCTTACGTGCATATTTCTTGCCATGTTTGTATTTGAGTTGCCATATGTTTTTGCGAATGCACGTTTGCATTGTATATTTGTGACCCATTCGCTACCGAGGTCAGCTGTGAGGTCTGCTTACACGCAGAACTAGGGGGACAAATGAAGAACAGAGACGGAGGAAACAACAATAAAAACAGAGAACTGAATGGGAACAAGGAACGGCGAGACGAGAACAGAACACGACGGAGCAAAAAGCGGCGAGACGAAAACGAACACATGACGAAACCGGTGTTAAAGTACCAAAGGCGGTGCTGTAAATTACCAAGGCCGGTGTTGCGAGGTACGACAACCGGTGTTGCGAAAACCGGTGGTGTGAATTACCAAAACCGGTGTTGTGAATTACTCAAACCAGTGTTGCGAGCTACCAAAACCAGTGTTGTGTGTTACGAAAACCGGTGTTATGAATTACCAAAGCCGGTGTTGAGTTGCGAAAGCCGGTGTTGAATTACCGCCGCGGCAACTCCAGCAATAATTCCCCGAAGCAACTGACAGCAATAAAATGGTTTCGCAATCGCCAGCCGCGGCAGAGCTCCAGGAGATGCCGTTCAACCACTGTCAATCGCTGCCGATGGCGTCGATGCTCAACATGCTGTTTTGATGCGCGAAGTTTTTGGAATTTCGAAACAAATCGGTCGGAGAAAGACTGTCGCTCGATTCTTAACTGGCATTGACGAGGACTTCATGGAAGCAATGATTAGCGACGAGGGGCCAGCACGCGCAAACGCCGATCCACAGCATATGAACGTGGGCGATGTTGGAGACGCCCCCGATTCCGAAGATGAATGGGCGTGGGGTCGGACCTCGTTTTGCCCTTCATGTTTTTTGGTCTCGATTGTTTTTTTTGTTTGTTTGCCAAGGCTGGAATCTTCCTTCCATTACCTCCCCCTTTCCGCTCGACTTGCTTAATTCCCGTTGGCTGGTTCATTTTAGGCGAGAATGTCGCGCCTGTGTTCTAGGGGCACTATTGCCAATTTTGTGTTTACTCCTTTATTTTTCTCGCACCCTAAAAACATTCGACCCAAAGAAAACCAATTCCTCGGAAATCTGTTATTGAAATTCAAATTCCCCAAAATCGCATTCGTAAAACATCTAACACATAAGGGGCGCAGTTCTTCTAAAATCTTCCCGACGACATCGAAATTATCCCGAATTTCCTCCGAACATGAAGAATGAACGTTTCGGATGGGAAAGCAAGCCCGTGAAATCAAAACAAATAATCAAATATTCTGAACTCTAATAATCAGGCGCCCCACGGCCGCCGCGGCCCTGAACCACCGGAAACAATCAAACCTGAAGGCCGCCGTTTACAAAAAAACGATCTGAAGGAATGCCATTTCTGCTTCTGTGCATTCCTGGACACTGGTTTCTCAATATTTTTGAATACGGAAGTGGCGTGAGTAGTTCCCCTTTCCTGACCCCCCTCCTCCTCGCTCCTCCCTCTCCCTTTCCTCGCCTCTCCCCCCCCCCCCTTCCACAGGCCCTGGCCTCAACAACGAGCGCGTGCTCAGAACGAGCGTGCGGGAACGCCCGCTCACTTTTGAGCCGTTCTGTTTGCGTCTTGATGCGCCCTCAAAACGCACTGCCCGCTGACCTTACCTGACCTGTGACTGAGTGACTCTCTGAGTCCCGTGGTTACTATGGTTGGCCCTCACCTGACTACTACTTGTGGCTGGCCCTCCTGTGATGAGGTGGAACGATCAGAGGACCAGCTCAGGGGGGGAACATCGACCTGGAATCAGCCAGACATCGCCAATAGATCGGCGACAGGCCCCCGATCGCGAATCCGCATGTTCCTGGGCGGGTGGGGTTATCAAGCCCCTGTCGGCGATGAATGGGCGTTTGGGGGTCGATGCCTACCTCCCCCTACGTTGCCCCCTCGCTTTCGAGCCGTAACTCGGCTCTTCAGCGGCCGTTCGGGACGATCCTGTCACTCCCAGAACGCTCTCGGCGAGGGCGTCGATGGCGTTCTGGGACAGGGCGTCGATGGCCCAGGAACGGCGGCGGCGCTGGCCCGCCTGGCCCGCGGGGGGGTCCTGGGAGCTGCGGCCACGCAGGGGCTCCGAGGCGAGCGGGAAAGCCTCCGGGGCGTGCCTGCGAGAGTCGCCCGCCGCGGCTTCCAGCCGAGGCTTCCAGGCGGGATTCGCGGGCTTCGAGGGCGATAGCTAAGACGTATCCAAGATATGCGGCCTGGGTGCCGGAGGGCCTGGCTGGGGGCCCAGGAACTCCGTTCTAGAACATAGCTGCTGTAGCCCTCGGAAAGCTTCTTCGGCTGTGCACGGCAGCTTCCGGCGTCGACGTCGGCTTAGCTCTGAGGCTTTGCTCTTTGCTTTGGCTCCACTGCTGCCGTGGCTGTTTTGGCGTCTCTGTTTGTTCGGCGTGCAATTGTAGCCTTGCATTCGTTGGCATCGCGCTTCGCTTAGCTCAGAGCGAGCTCTGACTGGTAGCTTCAACTGTTGCTGTGGATTTAGCTAGAACTTTGGCATTTAACCTAAAACGTTGTCCTTGCTACTTGAACTTTCGCCTTGCACCGGGCTAACACAAACTGGGTGCACGTCTGCTTCATTCGCACAATACGCGTCCTCATGATATCATTCATTGAACATGTCGAACAAACGGATGGCGAAATGTAAGACACTGGGGCCTCGAACATCTGCTTCACCACGACTCGCGCGAATTGTGACTGAAGTATGTGTCCCAGCATCGCCCAGCGTCAAAAGCCGATCAACCAAAAAACTCTCACTGCCTTTTCGAACCTCGCAACTGGCCTCGAGCGGAACCGATCATTTCTGGCTCTCCCCATGACGGATCTGCCAAGCGAATAACAGCACCGTGCAGCACGAGCTTGAGCACCAGACTGTAGCGTGGTCTCCGGCCAGCAGCTTTCCGTGGCGCAGTGACGCTGTGGGATATGTCCTGATCCATGAGAACGAGTCGCCCAGGCTTCGGGTAGATGCTCAAAACCTCTCCACTCGGAGGGTCAAGAAACCTCGTGGGGCCTCCCCAGTCCTCATGCCACTTGGGCGAGAGGTACACGAGCGCCGACACAAAACGCGGCCTGCCTGGACACCGGTTCAGGTAGCGGCCAAAGCAGTCTGTCCAAGACGATGAAGGCAATGCGTAGGGATCGGCATCTATGTGCCAACTATACATATCGCCATCTTCGGCAACAGGTGCGTTTACAGCAAGTGGCAATACATCGTCTCCGTAGACAGGTGGCATCCGACAAACAATAACCTCTCCCTTGCCTGCATTGGCATCCGCAATCAGCTTGCAGAGTCTCGACTGCAATTCAACGATCGCTCGCGGAGTTTGCCTGCGCGGTGGTTCACCGCACAATTCAATTAACGCTCTTTTTCGCAGACCCCAGCCGGCCCCACGCTTTCTTCCCGATTGCATGGCTGTGTCAGAGAAGGTACCGCGCTCCCATTTTTCAATATCAGGGCCCTCTTCTGGGTCCCAACCACGATTGCCCACTAGAAGTTTGAGAAGTGCGGCTCGCAGCTCATCGTCCACGACGCTATCAAATGCCACCAGCGCTGATGTGTCCCATCTTTGTGAAGCTCCTTGCTCTGCCCCCGTACTCCGATCAACACACTCCGAAACATCTCCTATGCCATCACTGACATATAAGCCATCAAGCTCGGCGTTGACAACAACAGACGCAAGACCTGCGTGCCATGGGGTCTCATGGGTTTCCACCGGACGCTTCAAACCATGGTTTCGAATGTGCAAATCGACCGCCTCGTCAAGCATTGTTATCATTGTGACATCGTCAACTGAATGTCCGTAATTTGCGTGACTGGCCGTCACAAGTACAGGATCTGTAATTTCCCCAGTTGTGCCATCAGCTTCAAGAGCCTCTATCACCGACTCAGTAATCCATCCTTCGAGTTCATGGCCTGCCAATCCCTGCAAAACTGCCATGCGCTTCTTATATGGAACCTCGCGCAGCTGCCACTCAATACCGGATACCTCTCTAGCGACATTAGCTATCAGAGAACGCTCCCTGGCGCTCATAGAAGAGGAAAAACTCCATAAGCATAACTTTCGGCGCTCCGCGCGGATTTCTTGGGTCTGCGCCGGACCCCCTGAATAGCGCACGGAGTGCGCCAGGGGTGGCCCCGGAGGCGCCGCCGGGGGGGACCCAGCGAGGATGAAAGAAATCCGCGAGGAGAGCCAAAAGTTCATGTTTATGCAATTATTTTTCTCCTTCGAACTTAAGCCTGCCACTAATAAACAGGGCGGTCCAGATCCAGGTGTTGCCGCAGCGACCGGCGCGTAATACAACTGCAGTGATACCAGTCCGCCGGCGCCCCCTTCAGGGGCCAACAGGCTGCACGGCTGAGGCTTTTCCTGCAACCTGCGTCAACACAAATCTCCAATCTCCAATTCTGTCGTCTATATCTATGAGAGCGATTTCTGCCTTCTCCTGTAAAGTGCTACTGTCCGCGGGGGGGGGGAGTAGGGGGGACGAACAAACGAATACCACCCTGCTCCCCCCCGCCGAAGTTCACAGAATTCCCCTGGGGCCTCAGGACACGGAGATTTGTTTTTCTTGCGTCGGCGGCTAGGCAGAGTAACTGTGCTGTCGGAAGAGCACTGACAACGGGGATGCCTTTGAAGCGAATTGTGCCACGGTGCAAGAAAATGGAAGGAGACAGGGAGGGTGGCCGAAAGGCAGGGAGAAAAACAGAAGATTCGCGCTCTGGGGGTCATATTCCTTCGCGACCCTGCAGCCACGATCCAGCGTGTAGAGTACGCCGCGTTCGCGCCATCGAGGCCACGATCCCTGGTTGATTGCTCCACCCCGAGGCGACGATCCCTGGCAGATTGTCCGAAATTCATTCTCCCGACGCTGCGATTCCCTGTAAATGACGTCACGATCACCAACCTTCCTCGCATTAGGTTCCGATGCTGCCTCAAGTCAGCGCCCAAACATCCCACCATATCTCTGGTATGCCCCATTCTGGTAGTGAGAGGGCCGGCAGCAGAAGGCGAAGCCTTGACGGATAACGTAGATACATGAAGCTGGCGGCCACTATGAAGCCGCATCAATCGCTGGCCAACTCAAGAACTCGACATACCCGTCACCGCTTGCCAACTTGAGCACTTACTGAACCAAGTTGGTTAACGGACTTCCATCAGTTCATTTGGTGGCGTCGAGTAGGATCTATTCAGCTTAGTTTCGGGGCCAGCTGCAAGTATTCGTTTTATTGCATGTTGGTTTCGATTTCGGCTTACACTCAAGCATGACACTCACCTCATGTTAACGGGTCAACGTAAGCCTGAACCAATGCCTACGCATTTCACTGCGATCAAGGCTTGCCGGCTGTCGGTGGGGGAGGAATCAGGGCCAACCAAAGAAAATAACACTTACAATCGGACCCAGGCGAGAAAAACATCCTTCAAGAACATGGACCCCTGCGCTGGCCAACACACCCAACACCATAAGACCACTCGAGGGTGCCCTCCCCCAGGATGCACAAGAACATCAAAGAAAACATGCTGAACAATAAGGCACCCTCCCCGAACCGACCTCGATCTTAGACCTCGGTCCGACAATACATGCAATAAACAAAATAATAACACGTCTACGGAACCCCGCGGTGTGATGCACATTGACCTCTAACTAATTTAGTGCGTTGTACCAGGTGTTGGTTGGCGTACTACAGACATGTATGCTTCACTCGCTCATGGAAAGCCTTCAGTGAAACTCCATATAAACCATTTATACATCGCAGGCCGTCTTTCGGGTGTTTTTCACAACCATCCTGTGGTTTAGGTTTCTCGCTTTGACGAGACAACGCCCCGCGTCACTCCTCCTCATCGCCCATCCTCCCCGCCCGCTGCCACCTCCCTCCTCCTCTCATCATCAACATCGTCATCATCATCACCACCATCGTCACCACGCCCGTTTAGGCACACGCCTCACACGCTTCGTGGCCCCATAAGGGGGCTCCACCGAGCTCCTCAGTGGCGCAGGTCGCATGCGGGCGTCACCCCAGATTCGAAACACCTCTCGCACGTTTCGTGGTCCCATATGGGGGCTCCATCCAAGGCCCCCGTGGCGCAAGTCGCATGTGGGCGTCACGCCCGTTTCGGCACACGCCTCACACGCTTCGTGGCCCCATATGGAGCTCCACCGGGTGCCCCTGTGGCGCAGTTCGCATGTGGGCGTCACGCCTGTTTCGGCACACCCCTCAGACTCTTCGTGGCCCCACAAGGGGAATCCATCTGAGGCCCCAATGGCACAATTCGCATGTGGGCGTCACGCCCGTGTCGGCACACCCCTCAGACGTTTCGTGCTATCACAGGGAGCTCCACTTAATGTCACAGTGGCACAGTTCGCATGTGGGCGTCATTCTCGTTTAAGCAAACCCCATAGGGAGCTCCACCGAGTGTCTCCGTGGCGCAGATCGCCTGTGGGCGTCACGCCCGTTTACGCACACGCCTCACACGTTTCGTGAAGCTGCGTCTACGGCCCCGGTGGCGCAGTTTGATTGTGGGCGCCACGCTCGTTTTGGCGCACGCCTCACACGTTCCGTGGCCCCACAGGGAGCTCCACCGAGAGCTCTCGCGGCGCAGTTCGCATGTGGGCGTCACGCCCGTTTGGGCATACGCCTCATACGTTCGTGGCGCCATAGGGAGCTCCACCGAGTGCCCCTGTGGAGCAGCGCAGTTCGCATGGGGGCGTCACGCCCGTTTCGGCACACTTCTCACACGTTTCGTGGCCCCATGGGGGCTCCACCGAATGCCTCCGTGGCGCAATTCGCATGCGGTTCCCCACTAACTGCGGCAGACCACTGACACGTTTCGTGGCCCCATACGGGGCTCCAGCGAGTGTCTCCGTGGCGCAGTTCGCATACGGTTCCCCACCTCACACGTTTCGTGACCCCATGGGAAGCTCCACCGAACGCGATGGCCACATCGTTGTACTCACAATTGTATATGGTTGGGTCCTTCGTCAGGGTATTTTTTCGGGGAAGACCATCTTTGATCTGCATTGTACGCCCAATAAAACTCACGAGTGGGCCCACATCGGGACATCACTCGAGATCTAAGTCCATCTGTCTAGCCCACTGTCTATCCATACGCATCCATACAATCGGGCTGCTGACATAAGGGACGCTAAATAATGAACAAGCCGTTTTCGGAGCTGGACGAGCCTGGGTGCACAACCAGGGCCAGAGGAACAACCACGGTCTGACCTGAAGAACAGCAAGCCCCTTCCTGACCCAAGCAGGTCCTTATCTCAGCGTCTTGCCTGTACCTATGTAAATCTGTATGTGCACACCTGCCTCACCATCTATCTGTGCAACTGTAATATATATATATATATACACACGTCGGTCTCACTGTCCATCGGTCTCACGATCTATCACAACACTGACCACACTTCAGAAATCTTGAATGAATTCGCTCACGATGCACGTGCTACCAAACACACAATACTCAAACAAACTTGCGCGATAACTTCACATCTGAACTAGAACCCGCAACATACACATCCCTATTTAGGAATAACCCTTGCAATCTTAATGCCAGGCCGCAACTGTACTCCGTGATACTAACGGGCGTGCCCCTTGACACCTTGCGTCAAGCAAAGGCCATGATCTATCTCGTGTCAAGTCGCAGTATGCGAGCGCCTGATTATGGAATAACAGCCCCATGGACGAGGATTAGAGAAGTTTTATACACATCTGCACCCCAAGCTCTGATCATATTCAGAAGTCACGCGCCCACTTGCGCAAACGTTCTACCAGGAGTCGACGATGCGCTCTAACAACCTGGCATACGAAATTGTGCGCTGGCTCCCAATCACACCGATCTCACTGGTCGCCAGCTCTACCATTGCAGCAGAAGCGGGTGTCTACAATAGAGACGTGGAACTCAACAATGGCTGGCAGTATGCGCGGGACGCGTCAATGATAGTCAGCTTTCGAGCCTATCTTCCTCTTCCGAAGTAGAACACGGCGGCAATGCCATCTCTTTTGGCCTTGGGGTACGGGGACTGGCCATGGAAGCGTGCCCGGGTGACCGAACGAGATCATCATTCATACTCACACGCGCGTGCACATGTACATATATTTGTGTAGAGAGAGGGGGAGAGAGAGAGAGAGAGAGAGAGAGAAACAAGGGAGAATCACACAGAACGAGAATACGCGTGATAATCGTAAGTTCTACCATTGCAGCATAAGCGCGTGTCTACAATAAAGACTTTGAGCTCAACAATGGCTGGCAATATGCGTGGGAAGCGTCACTGATAGTCATTCATACTCACACGTGCGTGCACATGTACATTTATTTGTAGGGAGAGGGGGAACGAGAGAGAGCGAGCGAGAGAGACAGACAGAACGAGAGGAATCTATAGATATATATGTATATATAAATAGAGATACAAGCGAATCCGACAGCAATAAGACAACATTGCACATCAGTGAACAGTGTGAAGCGGCGGCATTAACATATTTGGCGTCAACGACATCACGAACGACTCAGACTCGCAACTTAACGAGATATCACGAAACGGACCAGTCAGGGTGCACGTTGTAGCCAAATGTTGTACCTGTTACTGTCAGCTCCGCAAGCTTCGGAGAACAATCGCCGCACCCTGGTTCGTCTTTGGTCGCGCACCAACGGGGATCGTCTTTCGCAGTCAGCGGGGTGTGCATCCTGAAAGTTGCACTGCGTCCCCATCCACGTGTACTTGATGCATACGTGTACTTTCTCAGCCCCTTGGTGCGAATGGATGGGAATAACTTCGCCTTACCTCCACGTCGCTAGACTAGAGGCCTCATAGACAGGGTCCGAGTAGATGGGGTCGAGGGAATACGCTGCATTGGCGATGCATCGCCGACATCGGCGATGCATCGGCGATGTCATCGGAGCGTAGAGGAAGGCTCCACATCGAGCCGCATCGCCGATGCATCGGCGATGCGGCGCCGTGCACCTCCCTCAGTTACTCGGACCCTACCTGGGAGGCCTAGATCGACTGGCCAGCCGATGGTCAATGCTTTGTCAGGACGCGGCTAGACGTCTCATCAATACAGCCATCAAGCAGCAACTGGGTCATGAGGGAGGCACGAGTGGGGACGAGAAACAGGTGGTGTGGAGGTTCTGCTGGTCCACGCACACTCCAGAGCTCTTCACTACCAACGATTTCGCTTACTTCTGCCAGCCAAGCTCTGCTCTAAATGGGCTCCGAAGCCCTTGCAGGCCACGTCCCGACGGATATCCTGAGCTGCGCCTGGCCGCAGCGAAGAGGACGGACCCCCCCCCCAAACGGAGTGTGCAGTCCGTATGACCGTTGGGGGACGTCAAAACGTAGCTAGGATCGAGGGTTAAGAACACGCGCTTCTTCTCATAAGTACCAGTGCCCCATGGATAGGCTGAAAGCGAAGAACATTCCACGGCGGAGAGCCCAAGCGCAAAAAGCATGAGGGTCCCCCGCCAAGTCTTGGGTCGTTCTTGGCCCTCGTGCCAGCTGTGTGGCACGTGATATCCCCCGGATGTGGTCTTCGTCTCCTTCATACGGGGGGGTGGGGGCAACGCCACGCCAACCACGAAGCGTCCACATATAGCCGGGCAGGGCTGGACTCAATCGTATTTTTTATTCGTGTTGTTTCTCGTTTTGCTCCACATGTTTTTCTGTACCTCCCTGCCAAAACGAAAAACAAAACGCAACCGGAATCCAGCAAAACAGCGTTTAGGTCCAACTCTGTTGCCAGGACTATCTGTCTGCTTTTCTGATTTCTTGACGCGCCCCCTTCCACCCTCAGGGCCACATCCACTCGCTCTCTGAGAGTCAGGCCTCCCAGATGCCCCAAGAGGCATCCAAGGGGTTTCTTGTCCAATTTGAGCCCACCTAATACGAGTGTCTAGCAACAGCGTCAGTCGGTCAGGTCAAAGCACAGTCGAACAACATCAACTCACCATGGACTTTCGGACTTACGGACTGGAATGACAACTGTGAATGTTCGATCGCCCATTTACGTATGACGGCGGACGACCAACGCCAGAACTGATAATTGTGACTAGGCTACCGACGTCATAACGGCCAGGATGATACATGAGCAGGCGAGTAATGATGGACGACTGGCGAACGATGACCGACGTGAATACCGATGGATAACGATGTGGAACGGAACACTACTGACGTGATCAGAGATTAACGAATGTGCTGTCATCCGAACGTGGGCACCATACATAATTGAGATCTGTAGGATGCAGCTCGGCGCACAGCTGGCCGACCGCGGATGGGCATGGCCAGCTAGCTGCGCTCGCAAGCGGTTCCAGTGCCCTCCAATGTGCTGGACCCCTGCCCATCAGAGAGACGTTTCAGAGGTATCGGGGACGGACTGTGTGCCCGTGTACTGGCTCCTCTTCGGCACTCGACCCCTTGCCGTCGCTCGGACGTCCATTTCCCGTGCACTTTTCGGCCTCGTGCGTTGTTTGTTGTTGTTGTTTTGGCTCGATGGTCCAGGATGGTCCTCGATGGTTCTCGCCGAGAGAAACATGAACACGCACTGGCTCTTCTTCGGCACTCGACCCTGGCGCACTGCCGCCCCTGCGGCCGCTGTTGGCACTGCGCGTGCGCTCCGAGGCCGACCGCAGCGTGCTGCCGCGGCGCGCTGCGCTGCCTCGCGAACCACTCTGGCCAGCTTCGACCCTCACGACATCGTCGGCTCTCCCCCCCCTCCCGATTGCCCCTCCCAACTGCCCCCGCCCCGTCCCGCGAGTGAATCTCGCATCGGCCTCCCGGCGTCACGCCAAGCTGCCTCCGCGTGCGCGGCGAGAGCACACGGGTCTTACGCGAGAGGGCGCAGCGACCCTGCGCCGCAACTTACGCAGGCCGCCAGTGCGACACGCCGAATTGGCAACGAGGGTGCTTCACCGCGGCCTTACGCGGAACGCTTGCGCATGTCGGCGCAATCGATCCCGTTTTCAGCGTGTCGCTCACGTGCCTCCTGGCTGATCGCCGTGCCTCGCCGCCATGGGCGCTGACTTGGGCTCTCGGGTTGAGCAACGGCGGTGAGAGTCGCTCGGCCTCAAGAGGGCGTGCTCCCGCGTGCAAGAGCGGGTGCACGCGCGAGAGGCGCTTGCGCCTACGCGGGCGTGTGTGACGCTGGCCAGACCGTGTGAAGGGGGGACGTGAGGGGGGGGGACTGGCTCAGGGGGAGCAACATCGACCTGGAATCGGCGATACTTCACTGATAGATCGGCGGTAGGCCCCGACAGCGAGTCCGCACGGTCCTGGGCGGGACGGGGCATCGGGCCCCCATCGGCGATCGATGGGCGATTGGGGATCGATGCGTACACCCCCGAGCCCCCCCCCCGAACGTTGCCCCTTCGGGCCATAGCTTGGCTCTCTGGCGGCCGTTCGGGACGATCCAACTCCCAGAACGCTCCTGGCGAGGCGCAGCCGCTGGAGAGCACTCCGAGGCTGGCAAACCGATGGTAAGCGACGAAAGCGCCCCAACATCTTGAGGAATCGGTGCGCCCCCCCAGAGCGGGGAGACGTAAGACTCGGGATCGGGGGACGGCGCACTCGAGTCCTTCAATTCCCCGACCTGAGCCCATCCCTGCGCCCCGACAGCGGCAATGGGCTCTGGGACACACAAATAAATAAACACAAATAACACAATTCTCAACATTTCCTAATCTTTTCTGTGTTTTTTGTCTCCCCCCCACCCCTCATATCGACGATTCATTGTGTCTGTGTGTTTCTTCCCCTCCTGAATGACGGTGACGACGGCGGCGCGCGTTTTTGCCCCGCTGCCCGCCGGGCGGCCCCCCGCAGCCGCGCGGCGCGGCCGTGCTCGCCCCGAGAGAGGCGGGCGGGCAACCGAGGGCGGGCGCTGCGCAGACTCGCGGGGGGACCGCGTCCAGGGCACGGGCCGTCGGAACCCCTGGATACGTGCAGTGGCCCCTCCCCTCATCAGTATCTTTTATCCGACCGCCATTCCCATCCCCATGCCCTTCGAGACCCCCACCAAATTACCCCCCCCAGTTGGGGATACACCCCTCGAAACCCGAAGGGGACGGCCTATATTCCCACCTAGGGGGGTAAATCGGCAAGTGAGGCCCAGGCCACGCCGCTGGGGATGGGGATCGGATAAACGATACTGACCTCAATTCCTGGCGTCTCGGTTCTCACATCATCCGTTTTTGCCTTGCTTCGGGCCCTTGGGGCCCTCACAGACCGACTCGCCTTGAAGAGTGCAACAGGAAGATGGGGTCCAGGGCTCTGGTCGTGACTCTTCGCGATGAGGCACTTTCTGCATCGTAAGACCTCGAGGCCCCCTGGGTTATCCGCGCAAATTCTGGCATTCATGAAGCGGGTCCTGCTGGAAACGGGTTCTGGGCCCCGGGGGGGGGGGCTCCCCCAAGGCCAGCCTTTCAATCCCGAGTCGTCTTCAAAGGGTCCTGGAGCCCAGAGAGTGCCACGCGACCCCGAAAAAACCCAACAGATCTCGGGACTCGTTTGCTCCATGGCCACCTCCTCCTCCTCCTCCTCCTCCTCCTCCTCCTCCTCCTCCTCGTCCTCCTCCTCTTCCTCCTCTTCCTCGTCGTCCACCACCTCCTCCTCCACCTCCACCTCCTCCTGCTCCTCCTCCTGCTCCTCCTCCTCCTCCTCCTCCTGCTCCTGCTCCTGCTCCTGCTCCCGCTCCTCATCCTTCTCCTCCTGTCCCTCCTCCTCCTCGTGTCCCTCCTCCTCCTCCGCCTGTCCCTCCTCCTGTCCCTCCTCCTCCTCCTGCTCGTCCTTCTCCTCCTCCTCCTCCTCCTCCTCCTCCTCCTCTCTTCCTGGCCCTCCTCCTCCTCCTCTTCCTCCTCCTCCTTCTCCTCCTCCTCCTCCTCCTCCTCGTCCTCATCTTCCTGCGCTACCACCTGAGGCGCAACCGAAGTTCACTTCCACACCACTTGAAAAGGGATGCCCTGGCGAGGCGACAGCCCTCTGACCCCAGGGAATCCCCGCCGTCGTTGGGGCCGCCGCTC